CACACACACAGAATCACACAGTCTCTGTTGCACAATGGGGAAAAATGCTTAAATTGCGAAATTGAGATGTGTGCTTCCCCCTGTTGTCTCTTAAACAACACCAGCAGTGAGAAATATTTATGTGGAGACGGGAGCAGAAGCTGTTGACGTTTCCTTGGAGATGTTTGAGCTTTGCCAGTCAAACACACTTGAATTATGAGAGCGCTGACCAAAAAAAAGAACAAAAAGGAAGATAAAACTTCCATGTACTGCTGCATATGTGCAATAAACACATTCCAAAAGACGATGAGCAGGAATCATTCTGCACAGCTATGTACTGGATCGGCCCAGATATCGGACAACGTTGATTATAATAAGTCATCATGAATTTATTGTCTCCTGAGCAACAAAACATATGACACAGACCTTCTGTAGCTCATCGAGACAAACTGGTCGAATGAGAACCTTTCAGGACTCACTGACTTAAAACACTGGAACAACATTAAAGCTGCAAACAACCCGTAAAGCAACACTAGAGGACTCTGGTGCTCTGTCTTAGTTATGTTTTGCTTGTCAAGTCCTTAACTATGAGATGAACTCCCGTTTTTTTAAAGCTCATATAGTTTGTCGTCGTCGTGTCAGACAACGTACTGGAGATCTTTCTTACCCGACATAAACGCACAGTCCAGCCTGTTTATCATTAGAGGTATTATCTTTAGGCCTTGTTCACCATCTGCGCTCAGTTTAAGAGTTAATGCCCAATTACACCTTTAACAATGCTCCTGTTTTGTTATTATTGTGCAGCTGGTCCTTGCTCTTTCTTTAAAATGCCTACAATATGTGAAACGTAGTTAGAGGAGCTTTTCTTTGGGTTGATCTTGCATTGAATTTATGTAAACAGAATTTAAAAACTACACAAATTTGGCCAACTTTCTTGGCGTTTTTTTTTTTTTTTTTCCATTTTTGCGGTTTGATTTTGAGGCCAAGCTTGTGTTTGTGTGTGTTTTCCTTCAGGGTGCTGGACATGCCGACTCAGGAACTGGGTCCCCCAGCGCACAGAAAGTACGACATCGAAGCCTGGATGCCTGGAAGGAACAGCTATGGAGAGGTCAGCCCCATTCATTCATTCATCACACAACTGCTACCTACTTGTTTACCTCTTTTCTGCTTAATAATTCAGGTATTTAGGGAGTTAAACTGATGATCTGATTCACCAACATGCCTTCACTCTGCAGAGTCACTGGAGACTCCCCTTATTATGAACTGGAAGTAAATAAATGTAGATTCTGAGGTGTTTTTCTCTGTGTACATCAGATTTCCAGTGGGTCCAACTGCACAGACTACCAGAGCAGACGCCTCAACATCGTGTATGAGCGAGAGGACGGCAGCCTGCAGTACGCCCACACAGTAAGACTGCAGATGAGGCGACGCTGCTGTGCATCTCTGCTGCTTTACATTGCAGCAGTGAACCACCTCCATGATGTGTGTCGTGTTTTTCTTCTTTGTTGTAGGTGAACGCCACAGCGTGCGCCATCCCTCGAACCGTTATCGCTATCCTGGAGACCCACCAGACCAAAGTAAGACAACAACAGGCCTCGTTTATATTAAAATATTGCATCACAAGGCTCCAGAAGTCATTCTTGTCCAACGTTGAATGAAGATGATGCTCAGTGCAGGACAGAGATGATAGTAATAATAATAAAGGTCGAAATCTTCAAACACTGTGAAAACATAGAACTGAAATTCAAACAGAGACCCAATTTTTTTAAAAGACACTTTTTTTTTCAAATATGTAAAAATATGCGCCTCTCTCTGTTTATCTCTTTCAACAAATTAAAACTTACCCTGTGTGCCTCCACTGGGTTCGGTGTTTAATGTTTGTAATATTGAGGTGGCTCCCCCTTGTGACTGTTGTCATCAACAGTATCGTTTTGCAAATTCTAATTTATTGCAGTAGAATTGCTGACTTAATTGTGTAAAATTAACGCCGTGGTTTCACATTTTCCTGAGGCAGCGCAGCCGAGAAAGATCACCCAAATCATTCTGAAACTTATTTTGCACAGCGCTAAGGGAACCGTAATAAAGAATGTATTGAAAGATCTTTTCTTTATGAAGAGGACTTTTAAAGAGAGTCACATGACGGCAGCGTGATTAAACAGTTAAGACACAATCTAAAGCAAACAAGAGCGTCTGCATGATTTTTTTAAAGTCTCAGTTTCTGCACAACTGCTCGTAAATTCAACCTCAGAACTTTTAAAGTAAAACATCAGCTTCTCCTAAATTCTCTGTTTTAGGAATCCTAAAGCACTCCAGTAGTGATGACGCCAGATCTAAACATAGTGGTTATGTGTTTTAAGATGAAAACGCATCAGTGTGTAGGAAGCTTCAGAGCACATGTGTCAAACTTAAGGCCCGCCACATCGCTGTATGTGGCCCGCGAGAGATGTGTGTTTCCCAATCTGATAAATTAATGGCATTTATGTAATATAGCATAATATAATGTTATAATAAAATAATTTAGGTTATAGTAACACAGCAATGTGCCTACATGTAGGTTACTTTTAGATAATGGTATGCACAATCATTTTAAATAGAATAAATGATAATCAAATGCCGAGACAATCATTTAACAATACCTTAAGGCGTTGTTAAATGTGTACAGTCTTACAGTTACGACTGACCCTCTGAGGGCAAACACAAAGCCTGTGTGGCCCCAGGATGAGTTTCACACCCCTGGAACAACTTTAACCACAGCAGCTTACACTCGGTTACTGGGAACAGCTTAGAGCTCAGCAAACAAAGACTTATTATCACATAAAATAAATAAAAATGTGTGTAGAAACTAAACCCGCTGAGTTAGAACAAAAAACGAATACACAGAACATAGACGGGACATTTATCAGTTCAGTATACGAGGCTGCTGACAAAATACTCAATGCAAAAAGACCTGTACCATATATCTATAACTTCATATCACTTCTAAGGACTGGCCTTAATCACTATAAATATAATTTCATTATTTTGGCAGATGTGTCTTTGGTTTCTCGCTGTAGGGTTGTGGTCACTGCAACGTCTCTTTTGCTGACAGATGATTGATGGAGTCGCTACGTGGTCTCGTTCTCTGTCTGTCTCTCTGAGCGTTCGTTATCATATTCCTGTACCCAGCTAACCTTTAAATGTCTGACGAGGCTGAAGGTGTTTCAGTCTTTTGATCGACTTCCTAAGAACAAATTGCAGATTTACTGCCCTTTTTGGACACCTGGTAGAAACTGGTGAAGTTTAGCTAAACACACTGACAGCGTGATGAAAGTCAGCAGCCACAGGAGAAGAAGCTGTCTCAAGTTTCTGATTGTCTGATCTGCCTTTTAGAGAAACTATTTAAAACACACATCAGCCGCTAATGATCAGATAATGAGAATGGCAACTCTAATTCAAAAACTGCACCCTAACAAACACCAAGAAGCTCCATGTTTTCATAACTCCTTTCACATAACTGGGTGTAAAGTGTTTGTTTGTTGAAGACATTCTGAAACCTTCTTTACGTCACAGTGTTATTACTGAGGATATTTCTTCCTTCTTTCTCCTCTTTTGTCCATCTCCGCTTCATCCTTTCGCCCAGGACGGATCAGTGCGTGTCCCCCGAGCCCTGCAGCCTTACTTGGGTCTGGAAGTGATTGAGAAGCCAGAGTACACTCCGCTGAAATACATCGGACCCAACCAGCCCAGTCGGCCGCCCAGGCCCGCTCCTAAAGCCAGATAGTACAAAAAAATGGAACGAGGCGGAAACAAGATCACAAGTCAGGAGGGAAACCAGTACTGAACTAATGGAGGTGGATTTGTTGGATGTTCGTCTCCAGGTTGTTCAATACCTTCAAACTACAATAAACACAGTCTGACCGGTTTAGTTCAGTGTGAACTGAGGGCGTCAGTGCTTTGAAAGATGGATCAGATCACAATGCAGCAGTTTACTGTAATTAAGTCAATGTCGTCTGTTGTCGGATGCCATGAG